AACAGGCGGATAACACGGAGGTCCTTCGCAAACGGGAAAAACAATTAGAGGAACAATTCCTGAAGGCGTTCATCAAAAATGGAGCGAAGCTCAGACGTCTGAAATTTGAGGACGACAAAGAATCAGCAATTAGAATAATATCTGACTTCACCGCAGATTCCAAACGGGCGCTGCTCCTTCAGAAGGAACTTATCGACTACAAGAAGATGCTCCAGCAGACGCAAGCAGGTCAGGAGATGTATGCCAAGCTCGAGATTCTCGTTCAAGAACAGCATATCCTGGCGCAGAGAGAGACAGACGATGAAAAGAAGCAAGAAATTCAAAACACGATTCAGGCCTTACAACGCGATCTCCAACAGCTGAAGCTCCCTTTGCCACCCTTGCTCTACAACTTCTTCTACTGGATCTGGAGGGGTGTGGGATGGGAGACATCTCAGGAGATCTGGACCAAGCCGATACGGGGGTAGTTTTGGACGAGGAGCATTCGACGAGGCCATTTCTGACAACATTTATTAGGTATTATTTGTTTCTTTCAACCTTACTCCACATTAGCACCGCTAATTCAATATTTTTAGTTGATCCCCTTTGTGAGTGATCGGCAACCAACCCCTATCCCTTTGAAAGGGCCGTCCGTTCATTCAAGTTCGTCTTCCGACCAGCATCTGCCTAATGCCCTTTTGTTCTACCTAAAGTGTTTGTTCAATACATTGCTTTTGGAGTATGGGTTTTCGGGGATGAGAAGGAACGTCTCATGGACTTCCTTTTAGGGCACGATCTCTGGATGCATGTCAGCTCACCAACGTGAATGGCGAAAGATGGGGGCTCTTGATGTGCACAAATACGTAGCTCATCCAACGCTGAGCGAAGTGGGCGAGGAGCTCGTCTTTCAGGTTGTTGATAGGGGAACTAGAATTGCATCGCTCATTTTTCGGTGAAGGACTTGATCGATGATCGATGGGACCACAATGCTCAGATAGGGTCTAGAACCACGACTTAGCCACGAGTCGCGGTCACCCAGCCTCTGATTATGAGGCTAAACCCCCAGCTGCCACGACAAATTGCCCTCAGCCACCTACATTGCCGATATGACTTCGTATGTGCGATTCCGTCCTCCCTTGACCGATTGACAATGCCTCATCTCTCACTTTGAGTTTAGGTATCAATATGGCGACGCGAGTATAATTGACATTCAATCTCTCAAGCCCGACACAGACTTTGTGATTCTGTAAGCGTTTGCCATGTTCCGGTATAACCGTGATTGACGAATGATAGCATTCTGGGGTGTACTGGAGCTGGAAAAACAACAGTACGTCTGTTTTTCGTTGGATGGTGTAGCTCACTAGAACATTGGCACTGCAGTTCATCGAAAATGTAACTGGACTTAAACTGGGGGTTAACGACTCCCTGGATGCGAGTGCGACGGACATTCGGATGGTGGCTCTTAATGTGTTGTCCGCTGACAGTGACCATCCTCACCGTATTGTGTTTATCGATACACCCGGTTATGATTCCAGTTCCGAACCTCTGTTTGACATAGTAAATGTGGAGCCTCGCATCAAGGCTTATTTGGACGATTTGAAGTATGGATAAAGGTCTCATTCACCTCGTTCCACACGCGCTAATTGCCTACAGAACAGCCAACGTTGCCATTCGTGCAACCATTTATTTAATTCCTATCGACCACGCAGATCTTATTAATCATCGGAAGAAGTACGAGGTCGAGAGATCAATTCATTTTTCTGTACCGAATGGCCCATCGGCCCTACCCACGTCGCAGGAGCTGGCAGAGCGAATTCTACAGCGCGTATCGAAATGGAAAATGTACTACATGCTACCCATCACACATCGACCCCTGCTCTTTCTTACGACCAATTGGCTGAGCGAGAGCGGGGTCTGTAAGCCGGATTCGCCATCAGATCGAGGCATTCAATGGGAGGGCTTCGCTCGTGAGGACTTGGCCCGGGGATGGGAAGGAAAAATCTCCAACTCCACCTTCAAATTGGGGCGACTTTCCGCTGAAATAGAAAGTGCTCGAGAAAATTTGGCGGCAATTGTCGACTTATCGATGCAAACGTAGGTGCAACACTCGTTATTTAAAAATTGCCAGATTTCTTCATCGTCAACGACCACTAGTTCAGTCCCACTACCCCTTGTTCAAGACTCTGTCGATGCCGAGCTGTGTAACCAAGATATTATTATTGCGTGAGTTGACTAATATTAAGTCATTTAAATGTATTAATCTTCTACCTCTAGCGTGATGGGTCGGACTGGATCCGGAAAGAGCACTGTAAGTAATCAACTTGCAAAGTAACAAGCACTTTTTGGTTTGACGTTGAAACGTATCCGTATCAGTTTATTAAGACAGCCACAGGTGCCGATCCAGGGATCAACCACAACTTGAAATCCACGCAAAACGGAGTGAAAATTGTCACTATGCAGCACCCACAGTTCAGAATGTCGCGCATTGTCCTGGTAGACACTCCAGGATTCGATGACACAACTCGCTCCGATCTTGAAATATTTCAGCTGATATCCAGCTGGCTCGAGCATTCGTCAGTCCTTCGTGCTGGAGAAATTACTCGTTGACTGACTGGGCTGCACAGATACGGAAAGAACATCCAGCTCAGCGGGATCATTTACACGCACCGTATCGCCGATAATCGGATGGCGGGCAGCGCACTGAAGAACTTCAATATGTTGCGAAAGATATGCGGGAAGGATGTTTTCTCAAAAGTGTTGTTCATCACCACCATGTGGGACGAGCAAAACGAAGAGAGTCGAGTAGCTTGTCTCGCTCGAGAAAAGCAACTTGAAAAAGAGGTGTTCAAACCGTTTCTCGACAAAGGTGCCAAGCTGCAACGACAGGAATCTGCAGGGGACAGTGCATTTGCACTGAGCGCCATTGGGAAATTCACGGCTGACGCGAAACGGGCACTCCTCCTTCAGAAGGAGCTCGTCGACTACAAGAAAGCGCTTCAAACGACACAGGCAGGCCAGGCGATCTACAACAAACTCGACATCCTCATTTTAGAACAGGAACAAGCCGCCGAGCAACAGCAAAGTGCACGCGAGCGGCAAGATCTTCAGAGGAGGATCGAGGAGTTGAAGAACGACCTTCAACAACTGAAGCTTCCCCTTCCACCCTTTTTTTACAACCTGTTTTACTGGGCTTGGCATGGGGTTCCATGGGAGACGTCCGTTCAGTTCTGGAGCAAGCCCGCCCAGAATTAACTCTTCTGGAATCGCTCCCTGCCGTTTGTTCACTAAAAGCCATGGCCTCTTTCATGTCGTTTTTTTAGGGTAGTCAATCTTCTGCCCGTTTCTCTTCCTCCCTCATTGTAATCATTCGTCATCCTTTGTCTTGTCATGATGGTCCATGACGCTCCCAGATGACACCCTCATGGTAACAGTTTACTTAATACATACGACAATTTTCCAAACCTTTGTGTAGCTACAGTCTTTGTTCAATTAATCAGCGTTAAGCACAAAGGAGCCAGGGACGAAATGCACAGCAAACATCCGGGAAAGACAGTAGCGTGAGGAGTTGATCTTATTGCTTCCTTCCTTGAGAGAAGCTAAACGACACATGAAAGGCAGCGCCACTCGGACCAGTTCAGCATATATGTATGTATGTATGATAAGACGCCCCCCATCCTTAAAGGTCAGCTATCGATTATCCCTTTCTTTTTACTATCATCCTCGAAGCCGTTACGATACATTCGTCAAAGCTCTCTAAATTCCCTTCCACCTATTGTTTAACCATCCATCCCAATTTAACATATTACATGTTCGGAGACGTACCATATATCTCACAAAACAAGAGAGGCACAATGTGGAGATACATCATGAAAGAGCAATCAGTTAGTGCAGTCTATTGCCTGTAACAGCTGATGCGTTGGACTGACTATCAACCCTAGTCCCCTTTCCATATATACGGTTCCCCAATGGAGACGGATCTCATCACTCCTCCCCGCGTCAGTTTTTCAAACGGTCAGTGGCAACCGAGCAGCACCTTCGAAGGCGACATCTATGCCGCCCCGCTCGTCTGGCATGAACGTCGACCCTCCGATGGTGTCAACACATTGATGGGCAAATTGTCCCTAAATCGACGCCAATCGATGCAAACCCTCATGACGATGGATTTGGACAGGACCGATACCCTGGTTCACTCACCCTTCGAAGCCGAGAGTATGTCCCTTCGTGTGGAGTCGGAGACAAATGAGCAACCGACAATGAGAACAGTTGATTTTCCTCCAACACCACCACTTACTCCCCCATCACTTCGCAAAGTCCAATCTCAAAGTCCTGGCCATTCGTACACCCCAGGAAGCATGTCACGCCTCCGTTCGATTGCCCCCAGACCCATCGATATCACCACTGGCAGTCTTTATCCAACAGGTTACGCTCCTAGAATTCGGTGCGTCTCACTCCCAGTTGTCAGCCCCGTGTCTATCATCGAGGTAGATGGATTTCGAGGTATTCGCGACCTCGAGCTCCTTTCAACGGCTAGAGCCACTCCACACTCGAGCTTCGAACGCTTGCGAGGTCCATGGGAGGGCCTGGGAGCCTGACCTCTAACCAATCTACTCAACAATTTAACTATGTGTAGGGTATTCGGCTTCAGTATGCCCAATTTTAATACGACGAATAGGAGCTGTAGAACTTAACAATCGGGCTATAATATGTATATGTACACGTAGTCTTATGATTGAATAATGTATAAATAAATTAGGATTCCACGGAATTCTTGGCTGTCTACAGTTGTCCGGCTGAGTCGGCGATCTTCGAAGTCTATGATTTAAGGTTGATACAGTGTCCCGATACCCAAAGCTATCGGATGGCAGTCCATGGCCAGGCAATGGGTTGATCATCGAACAATGAAACCCAACGAACCCACCAATTATTACCATTTGGCAGCTTTGAGAGACTCGGGATTGGTCCCATTGAGCGCTACATGGTTGTGTTGCGGGATGTCCTGCAGAAACAATGAAACCAAAAAATTCGGATACGGGGAATCGAACCCCGAGCTGCCGCGATAACATTCAGGGATGAGAGGCGGCAATGTTAGCCGTTACACCATATCCGACTTGTTTAAGTTTGATAAGATTGTGAATAGATCCCCGGGCCGCCGTGCAAAAAAGCTAAGGGTGAGAATTTCCTTTCTGAGATTCATGCATCTATCAAAATTTTGGTAGCAAGTTCATCGCCGACAACAACGATGAGGAAGCAGTTGGATCCACGAATTCCCATTCTCATCAACAATAATGTTAAAACAAACCATAGGTCATTTATCGTGCTTGTCGGGGACAAAGGCAGGGACCAGGTCGGTTTCACAAGAATTGCTCCTTCAAGGCATTGACAATATGAATAAAAACCGCTTCTGCAGATTGTAAACCTCCATTACTTGCTCTCACAAGCTCGGGTTTCTTCACGTCCATCAGTATTATGGTGCTATAAGAAGGAGCTGGGATTTACCAGTCATCGAAAGAAGCGTGAAGCCAAGATCAAGAGGGATGTAAAACGAGGAATTCGGGAGGCCAATGATCAAAATCCTTTCGAGGTATTCGTAACAGTGACCGACATCCGCTATACGTACGCTATGTTTTATCACCTCTTCATTTACGTGAGTTAACGATGGGACCTTCAGGTACTATAAAGAGTCGCACAAAATACTGGGCAACACGTACGGGATGTGTGTACTTCAGGATTTCGAGGCTATTACCCCCAACCTTCTTGCTCGGACAATAGAAACCGTGGAGGGAGGCGGTTTGGTAGTACTGTTGCTAAAGACTATGTCTTCTCTAAAGCAGCTCTATACCATGACAATGGTGCGCTTATATAGCTTGTTTTTGATTAATTCATTGATATGTTCGACAGGATGTTCATGCTCGGTACAGAACTTCGTCTCATGACGACGTTGTCGCCAGATTTAACGAGCGATTCATCCTTTCCCTGGGGTCATGTCCAGACTGTTTGGTCCTCGACGATGAACTCAACGTTCTCCCAATTTCCCGCGGAAAAGACATCACGCCAATCGCCGACGTTCCTGGCAAAGAGAAGGAGCACGAGACAGAGCTCAAGGAGTTGAAGGATTCCCTGTCTGACACGAAACCAGTGGGAGATTTGATCAAGTTAACCAAAACGACAAATCAAGCACAGGCGTTACTCACATTTATCGACGCTATTGCGGAGAAGACTCTGTCCTCTACCGTTACACTTACTGCAGGTCGTGGTCGCGGAAAATCAGCTTCTCTTGGCTTAGCTATTGCAGCAGCACTTGCGCATGGCTACTCCAATATTTTTGTTACCAGTCCCAGTCCCGAAAACTTAAAGACCCTTTTCGACTTCGTCTTCAAAGGTTTGGACGCTTTGGGTTACGAGGAGCATCTTGATTATGATATCGCTGCCGTACCTATTCAAAACACTACTGGAGGTGCATCTGGAGAGGGTGGAAAGGCTATTGTCAGGGTTAATGTTTTCAGAGACCACCGCCAAACAATACAGGTGCGTAGTTGTTTTATGAACCCTCGAGAACATTAGTTAACCCCCCGACTAGTATATCCAACCTGAAGATGCCCATGTACTCGGCCAGGCTGAGTTGGTTATCATTGATGAAGCTGCTGCTATCCCACTTCCTCTAGTCCGCAACCTCGTTGGACCTTACCTGATTTTCATGGCCTCCACTATCAACGGTTACGAAGGCACAGGACGCTCACTCTCCCTCAAACTCATCCAGCAACTTCGCGAGAGCACAAGACCGTCTCTATCAAAAGGTGCTTCTGCTGATGTCGCAGAAACAACAGCATCAACCTCCAAAAAGCCTACCATCAAGGCACCTCCAAAAGTGCGAACCCTTCGCGAAATCAAGCTTGAGACACCCATCCGTTATGCTCCTGGCGATGAGATCGAGAAATGGCTCAACTCACTCCTTTGCCTGGATGCCACAATTCTTCCACGTTCATTAAGCACCCAAGGGTGCCCCCATCCCTCAACATGCGAACTCTTCTACGTCAGCAGAGATACGCTATTCAGCTACCACCCTGCGTCAGAGGTCTTCCTCCAGCGCATGATGGCTCTCTACGTTGCCTCACACTACAAAAATCAACCTAACGACCTTCAACTTCTCTCTGATGCACCAGCTCATCACCTTTTCGTCCTGCTTCCGCCAATCAAGGACGACGAGAGCCATCTCCCTGAACCCCTTGTAGTGTTGCAAGTCGCCCTGGAAGGAAAGATTAGCAGAGCCGCGATTATGGATGGTCTAGGGCGTGGTATCAGAGCTGGAGGCGACATGATCCCATGGCTTATCGCACAGCAGTTCCAGGAGAACCGTTTTGCAGAGCTCAGTGGTGCCCGGGTGGTCAGGGTAGCATGCCATCCTGATTACGCAAGCGTAAGTTCTTACATTTTCTGGCCAAAGATTTTTCTCCAAATATTCGTCACAGATGGGATACGGTTCAAGAGCATTGGAAGCTCTGAACTCGTTCTATAGTGGAGAATACTTCAACCTCAACGAAAATCCCTTACCAGAGCCAAAATACCCTAATGCGGTTGCTGTTGATGAGGTGAACAGCTCTGTTGTTCTCTGATCCAACATTTTTGCTGATCTTCGGTTTACAGTCGACCGATTTACTGACAGAAGAACCAACGGTCCGGTCTGCTTCTGAAATGCCTCCACTCCTACAGCGCCTATCGGAGAGGAAACCTGAGAATCTGGACTACCTGGGTGTCTCGTATGGGCTGACACCACAGCTTCTAAGGTCAGTCACACCATCCTTTCTACCTCCGTTGTCGCAACTGACTTGTAACATCCTTCATTAGGTTCTGGAAGAGAGCAAATTACATTCCCCTCTACATTCGCCAGACAACAAGTGAATTGACAGGCGAGCATACCTGCGTGATGGTTAGGGGTCTCAACAGCTCAGTCCAAAGCGAGTTGGAATGGCTCCATGAGTTTGCCAAAGGTGTGTATTTTTTCCTAGACTATTTCAGAAAACAAAAAGCTTACGAAATACCAGATTTCCGTCGCCGATTTGTCTCTCTCCTTTCATTCAAGTTCCGTGAATTCGGCTGCGTTACTGCTTTGAGTGTTCTGGAGGCCGCAAATGCTGGAATTAACGAAGACGCCAATGGTGAGCAATCTGCCTCGTCTGACAGAAATGAAAAGTTGCTCATCATATTCTGCCCATAGCCGAGCTTTCCGCAGCGGAACTCGTTGTGTACTTCACGCCCTTTGATCTGAAACGTCTAGAGTCCTACGCCAACAATATGGTCGACTACCATGTTATTCTCGATCTCCTGCCGACTGTTGGAAAGTTGTACTTTGAGAAGAGATTGGGTGCAGGCGAGATCAAGTTGACTGCAGTTCAGGCAAGCATCCTTCTGGCCCTGGGTCTGCAGCGCAAGACGGTGGAAGAGCTCGAGGTGAGTAGAGAGTGATTTCCTGGTTTCCTGTGTCTGACTCATGAGTTCTGTAGGCCGAGCTCCAGCTCCCAGTTAATCAGACCCTCGCACTGTTCAGCAAGATTATCCGCAAACTTGGAAAGAAACTGATCGATATTCAGAAGGCTGCTATTAGCTCTGAGCTTCCTGAAGCCAGCAAGCTTGCATCTTCGCGGATTGAAGGTCAGGACAAGGGCTTTATCGAGAATGCCTCGGCTGCGATGGCAGTGGAACTCGAGGAGGCCGGCAAGGAGGAGACATCTGCTCTCAAGGAGAGACAACGCCAGATCATTGACTCACTTGATTTGAAAAAGTGCGTACCCTTGCTTTCAGAAGCTTGACTACGTGGAACTAAGGATTTTTTAGATATGCCATTGATGACTCTGCGGCTGATTGGTCACAAGCCGAAGCTCAGATCGCCAATCTAGGAAGCGGAAAGGCTACCGTCGTCAGTGTGAAGGGTACTCAGTCAGCACCTCAGAAAAGGAAGGCCGAAACCGTCGCTGATATGTCAGAGACGAAGTCGAAGAAGTCACGCAGGTCAATGAAGGGAAAACAACGATAGTTGTTGTGCAAGTGGCCACTACTAGCTATGTTACACTGCCTTTTGCCTTACTCCTGTTTTATTTACTTTGACCTTAATCCATATTTCAAGCCATTTTTATGCGTCCCAGTGTATTTTTGGTATTCTGAGAATCAGTCCGAATGGTCATGTGGACGACATGCATTCCAACTCAATTCCTTACGTTAAACGGCTCGTGCCATGTGTGGGACACCTTTATAAGACGCCCACCACATCTTGATTCCTCACTTTCCCGTCTCTCTTCCACTCAAAGCAGCCTGATAGCCAGCGATGCCCATCGTACCTTTGACTTGCTTAACATGTGGACTCACGTTTTCCACTGTGGGTCTGATGGGTATGCATTGCCTCACTATGAAGCATATCCGCTTGCCATTTTGCTGTTTTCGGTGTGGAATAGGATTCAGCGACGAGGCGTCGATGAAAGAGGTGAGGTGCCTTCCATGCAGAATCTATCACGTTTTTAGACGCCTAGATTTCTTAATAGCACGCGGATGGAGGCCATGCCATGCCCGTCGCAATAAATTTACCTTCATCCATCGAAGCTTCGACCCCCGATGGCAGCACTCCTGGGTTGATAACGTCCGATAGAGTTTCTCTGGTGAACTCTTCTTCAGTGTGGCCAGAGTTCTCAACCAAGACACCCGCATCCGCGACAGTGACAATATTTGTGTGCACTGGCGAAGGCTGTAACGCCTCGTTTACTGATAAAGCACAGTTTCGTCATCACATAGCGACTGTGCTCAAGTCCGGCCATTTCTTCTGCTCGGTGTGCTCCTTGGTATTCAAGAAAGAATCCAATCTAACCAAGGTTCACTTTTTGAATTTTTATTGGTGAGACATACGCTCAATGGTTCCTAACTTCTAGCACATGCACGACGAGTCACATCTTCGAAAATCTACCATGTGTCCCTTCTGTGACGAAACCTTCGCGATCCCTGCACAGACCATGTTCCACGTTATTGGCAGTGGCCAATGTCTGGATAAAGCCGTTTCAATGCAAGTGCGAGAGCAGGTGGTGGCCCAAATAAAAACCCGCCGACTTTGGTGCTACGTGTGCAACA